AATTTCGATGAAGAACCAGAGTCCCTATTCCTCGATTTTTGATCATATTGCTGGCTATCTTGTTTTGACCGTGGGTCTTTTCCTACAGCTCCCATATATGGATCGTACTTGTTTTTACCTTATCTTTATTCGGTTTTTGATCTTCTGGAACCACCCCTTTCTTCATGATGAAACTTAGGTACGGTATCTTCTTCAATTCGCAGTTTCGTACTATACCTGTTGTAAACATCATTCCAGGTGGTTGCAGGGAATTCTCGAAGGCTTTCTTTGAGTCTTCTCGTGGATTCAGAACTTTTGTCATTTAAATTACTTGCAAAAGCTATTGCAGCCCAGTTGTCAGGCACACGGGGTAGAGTCATTCTTTCACGCTGGAATCTATCAACAAAGTCTCTGAGCAACTCTGAATCCCCTTGTTTGATTTTGAAAATATCTTCCATTCTTTTCTCAACCTTTTGTGCTCCCGAATGTGCTTTAATAAAAGAATCTGCAAGCTCAGCAAAAGAATTTATAGAATTTTCAGATAAAAGAGAATACCAGGTTAATGCACCCTTGGTGAGTGTTTCTCCAAATTTTATTGACCAGTACTGATTCAATTTCTTATTTGGTCAAGTCGTTGCCTTTTACGCCTGTTGTAAATGCAGTCACGTGGTCACGTGGGTCTGTAGTACCATCATATTTCGGGATGTCAGACATTTTGAATTTTTTCGGAATTGGAAGGGGAGCAGCACTTGGCTTTCAAGGTTGTTGTGAGTATTTGTCCATGTCAACTCTTTTTATTATAGGCAGAACTCCAGGGATTTGCTCAATACGTTCATTTTGTTCCTTAATCTGTTTCTGCAAGGTTATTACTAAATTTTGCAAATAGGAATTATTTAAATTACCTGGTCCCCCTTCCTATGGTTCACTGGTGATTCCTCCATTTCCAGAATTAACAAGACCAGAACGGGGATTCTCCAATGTATTATTATTAGGAGTTGGTGTGGATGGTGCAGCAGACAATCGACTAACTAGAGCCTGAAGAGCTTTGCTGACCTGTGCATCAATTAGCTTTTGTAAAGTTTCATTTGTACCACCTTCAAAGTGTTCATATTGTTCTTGTTGATCAGCACGAGATTCAGGAGTGCCTTCACGAGATTGACGTGGTGAATTTTGAGGGGAGGGAACCACTTCAATGTTATGTAAATCTCCTTGATTTTGATGGATTTGATTTTCAGGGTTTCCCAAAGTGTTTTCATTGTTATTGTTGGTGTTGTTGTTTGACATGGTGATAACAATGGACAAGATGTAGCTTAAAAGAAAAGATTATCAGATTCCCGGTAACGGAACCAATTTGTTTAACCAAAAATCTGAGTCTTTGGTCAAAGCTAGAAAGAAATTCGGGTTACTGATAATCAGGAGACGAAAATAAAATATTTTTGAGAATGATGGTAAAGCAGTAAATAGTTTTGTATTTCAGTAAGATCTAAATAGTATTTCGTGTCCTTACAGATGTTGAGTCCTTCTCCTTTTATAGTTGATTCTAGGAAAAGGTGTTATACCTTTGTCTTAATGAGACAATTATGAGCAATAAATGACATTAAATAAGACGTTACACAATCATTCCTATTTAATACCAATTCTCTAACGTATTGGGTATTAATATTGAATTTGAACTCCTTTTCGTCATCATATCCATGTCTTCAATGCCTTCTGATCTCTTGGCTTTAAATGACCTAAATAGGTACGAAGCGTGTATTATTCGAATTGCCTCTCGTGCTTATTTAACTTTCCTTTCCCCGTATCTGTTGTCACTCGTGCCTCTTAACTGATCATCATGTTTTGACCATTTGACTAGTCCACGTGTCATGCCTCGTCACCTTCAATGTAAATTCAGTTTTTTCCCAATACAATTATGACCCTATATCTGATCCTGTTGAGTATCTTCCCAGTAGCTTGAAATGACTTGATTGGTCATACTACAGTTTTGGATATCTACCAGAAAATTTTCAACCTCGAAGCCTTGTTGGACTCCACCTGACTTATAGTCCTCTGGTTGAAATTTGCAAAGAACCGAAGGTATGTTGATCCCTTTCTTGTTGGTGTTTTAAGCATTGGAATTTTTTTAAAGAGATGACTTTTTAATGCTGAAGCTTCTATTCTTTCTCTTTCTATAAACAGACATCTGACAAGTTGACAATCCTCAATTTAAGCTTTTCAGAAAATTTACAGCAAACACCCAACTTTTCCGAGACCCCGGTCCACATCTGCAAAGAATTATACTGAAAGGTTGTGTAAGCTTGATAGCAGTTCATCCATCCTTAGGAAATCTCAAAAACCTTATTTTTCTGAGCATGGAGAACTGCAAAAATCTCAAGTGTCTACCGAACAGTATTCAGATGGAATCTCTTGAAAGCCTCAACCTCTCTGGTTGTGAGAAATTAGAAAATTTTCCGGAAATTCGAGGAAATATGGAATTTCTATCAGAGCTCATTTTGTCACGGACTGCAATACAGGAATTACCCTCATCAGTAGGATGGCTTATTGGCATCAGCTTGCTTGATTTGAGTTCCTGTAGGAATCTTGTAACACTCCCAGCCAGTATCTATGAGATGAGGAAATTGAAAATTTTGAATCTTAAGGGCTGCTCAAAACTTGCCACCTTTCCATAGGTGATCTAGGACAGTTGGAGGAGGTCAATGCTAGTAACACAGCCATCTGGCAACTACCTGATTCTTTTGGAAACTTGAGCAAACTTAGAGTCCTATCATTAAAAAGAGGATGGAAGGTAAAACATCAATCTGCTGAAGTTTGATATTCCCCAAGTCATTTGGCTGTTTGAAGGAATTGAAAATATGTGGATGCAATTTGTCCGGTAAAGAAATTAATGCTCTTACCTGCTCGACTTCTTTATTGGAACTAAATCTGAGCAGAAATAAGTTTATTTTTTTACCTGATAGCATCAGTCAACTGTCTCAACTTCAATATCTCAACTTAACATACTGTTTGGCACTTATCGAACTTCCCAAACTACCTCCGAGTATAGAGGAATTATATGCGGAAGATTTTCTAGCCCCACAAGCTATTTTAGCTCTTCCTATGTACCCGAGGTTATACCAATTATAGTTTTGATCAACAACCTTATACAGAGAAGAGCAATGATAACTCAGCTTTGGAGAAGATCCTTTGTTTAGTTCTCTCAGATGCAAAGGACAATGTGGTCCACCAACTGGGTGAGTTATTCTATCGTCTTTCCTGAACGTGCAATTCCCACATGGTTTAAGTATCAGAGCAATGAGGAAAAAATCTCGTTTAAATTGCCCAAGTTTTGGTGTAGTCCGGAGTTCATGGGCTTCGCCATATGCTGTGTGACTTGTATGCGAGCAGGTGTCCATGGTTGTGATTTAAGGCTATCAGGGAAGTATGACTATGCTTTCATTGAAGCCAAATTGATCTGCAATAATCATCCCGAAGAGCCTGAAGTGCTAGAGAAAGTGTGTAAGGTAGGCTCATCATCCAGGAGTTATAGCTGGTGTGTTTGTCTTGCCTACATACCTCTTTATTCATTATTAGAGGGGCCAGGGACAAAGATCAAAAACTTTAACCAGTATGGCGTATTTGAGGCATCCATCCAAAGGCGCATTCCTAGACAATGGGGTGTTCATTTGATCTATAAGACTGGGCGCCAATTTTTTCGGAGCAGACTACACGATGGGCTGCTTGGTCACCAGTTAAGGTAAAAACTTAACAGGGTGGCCAGTTTCCACCCTGATATTTAAGCTATGTCAAGTTTTTTTTCAAATTATTTAACGTATAGCCAGTATTAGTGAACTTCAGACAAAAGCACTCGTTCTCCTCCTTGAGTCACCCCGATTGCTCCCAACGACAATCACGCTCTATCCCTCTTCATTCCAAATATCTTTCTTTTTTCTAGTTTATGACTAAGCACTCCATCTATGAGGTGTGATACCTTTGTATGTAGTAGATTATCTGAAAGACCAGTAAAATTCCTAAAGAAAACAAACTTTAGTGGTTAGAAAATATTCCATTCGGTGCATCTCATTTTGTCTCCTTACTAATTAATATAGTCAAATTAAGATTCCTGTAGCCTTGAACCTACTATTGTACTCTTAAAATCATTTAGCTTTAGAAAAAAGAAGAGAGAATACAGAAATTTTACTCCCGAAAACGTGCAACTCGGTGACTCGGTAATAGAGTTGAGATGAAGAAGGTTTTAAGTTTAATTCTCGAAAGGCAGTGATTTCGTGTGTTTTATATTATTTACTAGCATGTGCTATCGTTTTCACTTCCTTTTAGCGCCCAATGCATTTTGGTGATGGCTTTGGATTTGAAGTTAGGCCTGGCAAGCCAAACTTCAGACACGATTGTTGGAAATTTAGTCTGGGGAAGCTAAAGTATAGCCGTGGTTATCGAAAGTTTGGCCTTGGCGTGATTGTCGGAAGTTTGGTCTTGACCAGCAAACTTCATGCAAAAATGTCGGAAGTTTGGTCTTGCCCGGCCAAAACTTCACGGAAAAATGTTGCGTATGCCTGAAGTTGGTTCCAAAGTTGCTAAACTTGTAAATTCTTATAAACTACATAACTGTATGTCTTAAATGGTGGTCCAAAATTCGGCTATCTGTGCCATTGGCCCTTAGTTAAGCCAAGACAAGTTAAGTCGATATCGACCATCCATTTCTAACGTATTGATCTTAGAATAGTGGAGCCTAGCCCAACAAGTTTCAGCCAACCCCACCTAGCACTTTCCACTTGGGTCTTATGGGACTATTGAGAGTCATAAATGCAAAAAATTGCACGTCATGTCCCTCGGGACTAGTCTTGGCGGCATATTTTTTTTTGTGAAAATCTCACTTTATACCTATTAAGCCAAAACTATTTACCTTTTAATACACATGCCCAAACTATTTACCCTACCTACCCAGTCGGCCCAATTTATTTACCCGGCCTCCATATTTCACGCGGCCCAATCTACCCATCTCTCCTTATCTTCGATCCAACCCACCTATTTCACTCGGCACAAGCTTCCCACGCTTTTCTTCGTTCTTTAACAGTTAACAAGTAGACTAGAGTACAATTTCCAAATCTCCATACCGATGAGAACGCAAAATTCACCCACATTCGAGTTTTTAATTTTTTTTTCGATTCCGTTCTATCTCTTCGTCTAATACCTATTTTTGGGTGACATTTTTGCTTTGGGTGAAATTTTTGCTTATGAAAGTACATTTTAGTGAAAGTGGGCTTTCAAAATCATAGGATTTTTGTGTTTTCCTTTGTACTTTTGTGAATCAATGTCTATGGGTTGTTGTTTTCTCTATGGGTCGGAAGCATTGTGCGCGTAGATGGTGGCGCCGTGGACAATATCATTCTTCAACACAAGTAGCTGCTGAATCCGTTGCCTCAGCCATGTTTGTTCCTAGTTTTTCCTTATTTTCTGATTCTCAGTCTCTATTTAGTCGTAACCCTAGAAGTAGTCATGTTGAAAACACAACTGAAAATGTAGAATTAGAGGGTGGAAAAGGCAACAATATTAATGCTTCGTCAGTCGATGAAACTTCCTACCTGTCATTACCCGACACAAATTCCGAACCAGTCATAGGAGGTATTCCTGTGACTGATAAGGGAAAAGGTAAAGTTGTTGAGGATTCTGAGTTAGGGGGAAGCCGACGTGAATCCGTGCCTAAAACAGAGACTCAACCAGTAGATGTTGATTGTAGCGATGATTCTCAGTTAAAGAAGAAAAAAATTGGTATCGCACCCAAGAAGGTAATTTTCTTACAATTATGATCTTTGAGATTTTTAATGTATAGTACATTGTTATTTTTTGATTTCCTGTTATGCTTTTGTATTATATTATAGTTATAGTCAGTTGTGTTAATTTTAAGTGAATTCTATTTCTTCAAGTTCATTCTGTACATTTAAGAGAACTGTTGTAAATTTATTACGTTTTCCATTTATCTGTTTATTGCAGCTATCCATTTCATCAATGTTCAATGCGACGTAATAGTGTTTATAGCTGTCAAAATCCATCACTAGATGATTAACTAAGAGAAAATCAAGTACCAGCAAATTTTGAGTTTTTGGGTGAAGTTCTTTTGAGCTGTTCTATGTGTATGTTTCTGTGATATTAGCAAAATTTAGGCATATCATTTTGCTTAGAAGAAGTAAAAGATATCATTTTGTATACATTGTGTTTGAGCGTGAAGGAATTGAGTGATATTTTCTAGTATATTGTACAGACCAGTTAATTTGCAATAATGAGCTTGTTAATTTTGGATGACATATTTGTCTTTGCTATTAGTTTCTCAATGTTTTTGAATCAATATAGACAGATTAAATTAATGTTCTGCTTGAGGTTTAAAAAGGGTCACTGATTCAGTAGCTGTTGTAGTCAACCATATTTATTGAAGCCAGAGCTGCTCTATGTGATTTCTGATTTTCAGCTTTGCATTAGATGGTTTTGTACATGATTTAGTATTTAGCCAGTTGACAGTGGTGGAGAGAAGCATGGAAGGAATGGGACCGTGTAAGTTAGGAGTGCAGAATGAGCTTTTCTTTATAGGTGGCATTGTGTGGATGGGGTCAATGGATGAGAAGCGCTGGTACTGTAGCATAAGTTCCTTGTCGAATATTAGCTATCTTGTAGTGCAATTTGATGTGAGTTTATGCTATTCTTTTACTTCCTTAATAATCTCAACAATATGCAAGATGAAAAGTATTTTGCTACTATCCTCTAAAATATGTATTTGATAGAATAGTTTCCGGATACTGTAGATTTAATAGCTAAGTTTCTTTTGGCTTTCCCTCCCTAGTAATATTGAATATGCATCTTCAAATGAAACAACTTAAAGTAAGTTTATGCATTGATGGTCACTTAGTATTGCTGCAAATTGTTCCCACACTATTTTCCTTTTGTTTCCTTATAAGTAAAATTTGTAGTTGCCGGAAATGAGTCAGTAGAATTGTATACCCATGCTGGTATAGTTATATGTCGTGTTGGTATCGTATGGTAGTTGTAATAATTTTAGTTGGTTTAGTTGCATTTTAAGTGAATTCTATTTCTGAAATTATTTTATATGAACATGTTTTGCAGTGTTGGGATTTTCTTGTGCCTATGGACTTAGATTATAAACCAAAGGTTGATTGGGATACCAACTGCCATGTTATTCATAAATTGAAAGCGAATTTATCGAAGAGGCAACTTCGACTGTTTAAGAAAATATGCTTTGGCTATTTTTTGGATCTGCCACCAGTTATTGTGCAGATTCGGGTTATGCACCATCTGCTTATTAGAGAAGTACATCATGAGGTGAAAAATGAGATGCGGTTTGTAGTGAATGATTCTAGGTTGTGCTTTGGCTTGGGTGAATTTGCACTTGTTACTGGGTTGAAATGTAAGGGTGATACAAGTATAGAGAGCATAGCAGAGAATAGGTTGATATCAAAATATTTTGGGACTGCATCCGTGACATTTGCCCAACTAGCAGACTGTTTTAAGAAGAAGAAATGGAAAACAGATGATGATGCGTTGAAGATAGCAGTTCTTTATTTTGTGAACAGCTTCTTACTTTCTCAACTCAAAACAAAGGTTATTTCACGGTATTACATTGACTTGGTTGAGTGCGGTGATTTTAATAATTATCCATGGGGTATAGATGTTTATAAAGCTACAATTGACTCGTATTTCAACAAGTTTCAAGATAAGCCTTCTATTTATAGACTCGGTGGCTTCTCGTTGGCTTTACAGACTTGGTTGTATGAATGCTGCCCAAGTTTGGATGGTCACTTTGCTGATCATCTTGAAAACAAACTTCCACGAATTTTGAATTGGGTAGTCATGGGTCAAATACCGAATGAGCGAGTTGCTTTGCAAATGTGTAGCTTGCAACGCGAGCAGGTAATTTTCTCATAGTTTTATTGACTCTCTTAATGTTTTGGTACAGTAGTTTAGTCACAGTTGTAGCAATATCCCAGTTCAGTGATATACTCTGTTGGTATACATGTATACTATATTGGTATCATGTATACTATATCCCAGTTCAGTGATATACTCTGTTGGTATACATGTATACTATATTGGTATCATATGGTAATAGGGATCTTTTATCT